GATATTTTTTTCCACTTCTCAACTCTATTGCTTGACATTGCTCTTCGCCTTCTCTTTTTTTGGTGTTTTGGTGTCTGCTGGCAGCTTCCTAAGAGGCTTATTGACCTACTTGAACTTCCAAATTTTGCAATGAGTGTAACAACCCTAAATTTCCACATATCTAGAGTCGCCACTAACATCTCATGTTCATTTCTAATGCAGAATATAACTCTAAGAATGGTCATCTTTATTAGCGAAAAAATTTAAAACTTCAGAATACGTTAAAACACTAGAAAACACTGTCGGACTTACGTGTTTCAAACATCATCCTGGAGTTCAAGATAAGATAAAAACAATTACAAATTAAATAATTTAAATAAATGAAATACAAGCACCCTATCCTAACCAAAACTAGGAATTTCAAACATGCAACTATCCTATGCACGCGCCACAGTCTCTAATCACGATGCCGCCTTCAACCATACATGGGCACGTTGCCTTTACCTGAAAAACAATATGGCACACGACAGAAATACTCAATAAGTAACCTCACTATAGGGGACATGCTAATGCAAACACATGTAATCATGAATTAGGGACCTATCTCTAATCATCTTAAGGAGACCTCAAGTCTCGGATAAATTGGATGTGTTACTTCCCTACACACGACTCACACATGCGAGTGTGAATCCCCAGGGCGCTCGCACACCCCTTGGACCCTCTGGTCAAGTTAATCTGTAGCGACGTTCGGAGGTCAGCGGAACCCCATAGTGTCATGTGCCTCATGAACACCCTCATCTGTGTGCATTTGCGCTCATCATACGGTGCGCGTCCACACTCATCATCTCTAGGGGAAGTAGCCTTATGCTTATGAACATACAATATGCATGAGATCCCTCTAAGTCCAATTATATATCCTTCTAACACAACCCTCTAGTCTCATCTCTTGGTTACACTATGTAACACGTGCTCGTGGATATTTACATTAATATCATTTTCATACTTTTAGGGTTGTGTTCTATGTCGATCTAATGACATGATGCAATATGGCAAACAACATCACATGACATGTTCAACATGGAAATCATCATCATGTTAATAACATCGTCATGCATACATCATAGTCATCATAGAAGCCATTAAGTGCACCAAATATAACATGTACGCCATGCATCGAAACATAAATAACGTACATTTAACATACATCACAATACAACGTCATACTCATACATCATCATAAATCAAACAATCTTTAGCCTATCCTATAGTAAGGGCACTTACTTGGTTGGTCTTGACCAAAGTACTCCCTAATTAGCTAAACGTAAGTTCCCGTTCCATGAGAGCCGCTTCCTACGTTGCCGGGGTTTCTTTCCTATCACACCATTCGCCACCTTCCGTTAGTATTTCACAATTAATTTACCAATAATTTAATAAATGTGAAATATGGCTCTAAAACGGCCTCAGATACCTTAATCGAGGCCAAAAATAGGTCTGAGAGGGTCGAAAAAGTGGAAACTAGACCAAAAATAGGGGAGTCGAGCCAAACAACCGCCGGAGGAGACGCAAGCCGTTTGCGCTGAGCCGAGTCAAGGGACCACTTACGCCACTGTATGCCATGTGGCAGAATCAAAGCGCGCCACGTTATGCGGTATGCATTGGGTCGAGGCATGGGTCGCACTCCGGTTCGGGTCGACTGCTATAGAAGGCTACTAGGTCGGGCTAGTTGTTGGGCCTCAGTTTATTGGATTGGGCCGCAAGTATTTGGGATGCAGGGCGGTTCGAATGGACTGTGGGTCTGGTCCCGGGTCGGTTCAGTTGAACCGTGGCTTTTGTGTTGGATTGAGGTGTGGGCCACTATAGTTGGGCTGGGCTGAAGGCAAAGGCCGAGGGGAAAGAAGTCGGGCTACTATATCGGGTTTTTGGTTCTGGTTGGCCCGGATCCGTGGATCTCATCTTCCTTACCCAACTTCGGCTGAGTTTTTGGCGCATTTTCTCTCTCCTTCCCGCAGCGCTTCCGTTGCCGATTTCGGTCCTCTTTCTTCCTTTTCCTCTATTTTTTGTCCTTCTTTCCTTCCTTGAAATTTAATGGCCTAAAGGTTCCTAAAACCACAAATTTAAGAACGTTTAGGAAAATCCAATTTTCTAATGACGGCGCTTACGAAAAGGCACAAAACGTACCTTGATTTAATGTGCTTTCATTAGGAATCCTTCTCGTGGTGGTAACTGAGCGTTTGGCATCGATTTTAGAGTGATTTGGGGCTCATCGAAGGAATTAAAAATTCGCTGACGTTATCCGAAATCTCTTTCTCTCTCGTATTTTCGTCCTTTTCTCTATTTGTAGGTATTCTGATCGATTCTGGGAGTCGTGGACTAAAGGCTGAGCGAGGTGTGGCTACCATTTTGCGTGGGGTCCATGAAACTCGGTAGTTGCTGGAAAACTCATGAGTTTTTTTTTTTTTCTTTTTCCCGGGTCATTACAATGAGGCTTGTTGACTTTGTATCACGACATCATTTTTAGCCATATATTCCTTTATTAGGCTCTCAATAGAGGTTCCGATATATATTGAGCTTGGCTAGTTCTTTTTCCTTGGGTGTTGACTCGTTGAGAACTATAAGCAAATTGATTTTGTAATCCAAAACCTAGAAGGTAATTTACTTTAGGTGGCATTTGTTGGTTGTATGAGCCTTATCCCTTCCATAAAAAATTGAGGCCGGATTGCTTGGACATTGATCAAAGGTGTGTTCCTCTCCACAATATACACAAGATTCGGCTGCTGTCTGGTTAATTACAGCAACTATATGGACTGGTGCTTTGATCATGGAGTCTTGTCTCAATGCTAGATTTTGTAAAATATTAGTCACCGAGGCTAGTTGAACGTTGATAAAAGACAAAGCATCAACTTCAAGTACTCCTTTGGTCTTCTTTCCTAGATTGCTTCTCACATCGGCCCATTGACAATTGTTAGATGCTATTCTCTCTAAAATCTCATATGGTTCATTGTATGTCTTTGAAAAAATAGCTCCATTGGCGGAAGCATCAACTACTTGTTTAGTAGCAATATTTAATCCATCGTAGAAAGTCTCCATTTGTATACAATGAGGTAGTCCATGGTGAGGACACTTTCTAAGCATCTCCTTAAATCTCTCCCAAGCTTCACTTAGTGTCTCATCTTTAAACTGATGAAAAGCAACAATCTCATTTCTTAACCGTGCGTTCTTAGTGGGTGGGAAATACTTGATCAAAAATTTCTCTGCTAGACTATTCCAAGAATCAATTGCTCATGGTGCTAAGGTATTCAACCATGATTTAGCCCCATCCCTCAATGAATAAGGGAATAAGCTCAGTCTAATCACGTCTTTATCCACTCCTTGGAATCGAAATGAGTCACTAACTCCAAAAATGACTTTAGGTGTAGGAGAGGATCTTCTGACGGTAGTCCATGAAATTTCCCAATGGTTTGTAACATTTGAAACATCACGGGCTTTAACTCAAATGTAGTTGCTTGCATTCGGGTCTAATAATGCACGGATTTAGCTCTTCCACAGCAGGGTGTATATATGCTCGAATCGCTCTTTCTCTGTCATCTGCTAATTGAATGACTTTAGCAGTAATTCTCTCTTAATTAGCCATCATCGCTGGATTTTTAAACTCTCGATTCAGCTAGGCTCCAAGTTTTATTTATTGTATATTTTGTTCTGTCAGGATCCAAAATAAATTCCAAACCCGTAGGTGGGTTCATACACATAATTCTGCAACAGTAAACTTAATTCTGCAACCGTAAATACAGCAGTAGAAAATTTAGCTTACTATGGCTTCTTGTTGGCTCCAACTCACGAAAAACTACAATAAGTAAAATAACCAAATTAGGTTCCCCGGCAACGGCGCCAAAAACTTGATCACTTGTGGATGTATATAATAAAATGATGTAAAATTCACAAGAATAAGTGCAAGTATACACTATCAAGTAGCAATTAATAAGTAAATTATCGATTCCACAGAAAACCTATCTTTTTGGTTAATTTTATAGCTGAAAATTAAGTGAGGTTTTGGGTAACATTCAAACGGGTAGTGGTGATTTTGACTACTTAAACAAAACTAAAATAGAGTGCCACTACTGTTGAAAAATAGAAAATGATGAGAAAATCAATCATAATGCCGGAGAGAGTAGAAAATGATGAGAAAATCTATCATAATGCAAGGAGAGAATAGAAAATGATGAGAAAATCAATCATAATACACGGAGAGATTAAATAGATAAGTGGTTGAATTTTGTGGTAGATTTTAGTTCCTTTTAATAGATTCCCAAGCCCACTTCCAAGGGTCATGCATGATGATTATTTTCATAATGGTTTGTAATTTCTATTAACAAGGCTCTCAGAGAAAAATTATTCGTAACACTTCTATTACCCTTCAAGTCTCCCTCCTTGCAATAGAACTAGAGTATTAAAGAGGATTTCATTGCTCCCTCTCTTCTCCCAAATGAGAGAGCAACTATGTATGTAAAGTAGCTAATTAAACACACATGTAAATCATTAACAACTCTTTAATAAACTAAAATCATATCGTCAACATACTTAAACTATATAAAACTCTTTCGCATCTACTTAAACTATATAAAACTCTCTCGCATCCCCTATAAAGTTTAGCTCTCCATACAAATTGAATTAAACAAAGGAACCCACGTCTTAATCATATAAAATTGATAGAATAAGAAAAGAGAGTAAGGAAATAGAGAGTTATCCAGCTTTGTTGTCATTCTTCAATGGAAGTACCCTTCTCTTGAGCTCTCACATCCACCTCTTTGTCCTAATCTATCCTTCATGGTCTTCTCTTCCTTCTGTTGTCAACCGCTGCTGTATTAGAGTTTTTTTTCTCTTCTTCTCTAGTTTCACAGCAGTTCATAGCAGCAGAGGTCTGTTGTCTAATCCAATTTTTCTCTCCCAAAGTGTGTGTCCCTCCTTTTGGTCTTCTTTTTCCTTTTATATTGAGCATGGGTTTCTACCCTTTAGGGCTGGAAAAGAATAAGTTGTCCACATAGGATGTTCCTCATTGGGTAGTCAATGACTCACTTGGACGACTGATGTCAATTTAAAATTTCATGTCATCCCCCATTTGTTTCTAGATTTGCTACTCCCTCATGGTTCAACATAAAGGTTTGAAATTTTACCACATAACTCAATTAAATGTGCAATTAAGATCGATTTATGCCAAATCGTATTTTTTCATGTTGAACAACAATAAACGATTTCATGCTCACTAAGTAGAATAAATGGAGTAATAAATGAGAAAATGGTGAATAAGAGTGCAATATTAACTACAAAAAGACTTGATATGACTCACTTTTAGAGAGTTATCAGTATATTTAACGTTCCAAGACTTTATTCATGCAAAGTCTTTAATGCTCACATGAAGTCTAGCACATGAACTATTGTAAGAGTTAGAGAATTGAACATGAAATTGATGTCATGAATTCAATAGGTTTACTTTGATACAAAGAACAAAATTGAACTTTCATTAAACATAAATTGGTGACAGCAGTATAAGCTAATCAGGTAAGTGATCTTACTATAGGATAGGCTAAAAATTGTATGAGTTATAATGAAATGATGTATAAGTTGTATCATATGATGACGTATGAGTATATGATGATGTATGAGTTGTGATGCTTGATGATGTGCGTAGTATATATATTTCAATGAATGACATACTTGATATACTTGATGCACTGTAACGACCCAGATCCACTGCTAGCAGATATTGTCCTCTTTGGGCTTTCCCTTTCGTGCTTCCCCTCCAGGCTTTAAAACACCTCTAATAGAGAAGGTTTCCACACCCTTATAAATTGGTTTGTTGTAACTACCCGAAAAAAAAAAGAAAAAAAAAGAGATAATAATAATAATGAGTAAATAATAACTAAAAATAAATAAATAAATTATCAACTCTCATTCTTACTTCCCATCTTCCATTTTTATTTATTTATTTTTGTCTGTTCAGTTAACTATATTCTGGATTTCCATCCCTGTTACTTCTGACTTAGTTAACAATTATATTCTTAGTTTTTAATTTAATCAATTCATTTGTTTATATTCTTTTTCTATAATTCATATAAAATGATTGACAACCTAAATCATTGCAACAATTCAAGAGATCTAAAATATAAAATATAATTGGTTGTGATTTCCCAAAACTCATGCAAAAAAAATTTCATTTAATCTCTAATTCAAAACTAAATAATTGTAACAAAATTAATATTACTTAATAAAATAAAAGGAAAATTTAACATACTGACCTCTTCAAATGACATATGTACCTCTGGTTTCCTAAAACTCATACAAAATTCTTTTTATTTAATACCTAATTCAAAACTAAATAATTGTAAACAAATTAATATTACTTAAAAAAAAAATAAAAGGAAAATTTAATTTGGTTAAACATTTTGTTTTTTTTTTTCTATTGTTTTTGTAGGAAGGAAGAAATTCTGATATGGGTAAATATGTCGTTTGTTTTTACGGAAAAAGAATTCTTGAATTCTTGATTGTGGTCAAATTTATTTGTAGGGAAGGAGTCGCTAGAGCCAAAGGAGGTATCAGTTACCAAATATTTTTTTTAATATATTTTTATTATTTATTTATTTATTTATTTATTATTATTTTATTTTATTTTTCCAAGTCATTTTTAGGAAAGAGAAGAAAACATAATAAATTGAAAATCACTTATGTTAATTCGATAATCATATTAGGAAATAGAAGAAAATAGAATTGATTGAAAATTGTTTTATAATTGTATAGTTATCTATAGGAAAGAAAAAAATGCAGAGGGAAGAGAAACAAAGTGGTACAGTAGAGAAGGAGAAAGAAGATGTGAGAAATTATTATTATTTGTACCCAAATAATATAATATTATAACAATCCATAGTTGGATTGAATTATCAAGCGGCATGAAATAGCATTGATATATTTTCAATTTAAGTTCTACTATCTAACAAAATTTAGAAATAATGAAAACGTAGAATTCAATTTTTACTGAGACCATTTTAGAGTCATATTTCACATTGTTAGTTGGATTATTAATTAAAATGTGAAATACAAATGAAAGGTGACGAACGGTGTGATATGAAGCGAACTCCAACAACTTCTGGAGTAGCTTTCGAGGAACAAGAGCTTACATTAATTAAATTAGCGAATATTTCGGCAAGGCCAACCAGGTAAGTGACCTTACTATAGGATAGGCTAAAGGTTGTTTGAATTATGATGATGTATGAGTATGACGTAGTGTTGTGATGATGTTAAATGTACGTTATTTATGTTTTGATGCATTACGTACATGTTATATTTGATGCACTTAATGGCTTCTATTATGAGTATGATGTATGCATGACGATGTTATTAACATGATGATGGCATAGGACACAACCCTTATGATGCACTTAATGGCTTCTATGATGAGTACTATCCACGAGCACGTGTTACATAGTGTAACCAAGAGATGAGACTAGAAGGTTGTGTCATAAGAGATGTATAATCGGACTTAGAGGGACCTCATGCATATTGTATGCTCATAAGCATAGGGCTACTTCCCCTAGAGTTATATTCTTCATTAGAGATGAGCATGAGACGTTAGTGGCGACTCTAGATATGTGGAAATTTAGAGTCGTTACAATGATGGATTTAAAGGGTGTAAGAGTCGTACAACTAGTAATAAGTGAAGAGAGAGAAATGACAGTTGTACAAATCTTTTAGGGTTTAAAGAAAAAAAAAAAGGAAAAGGAGAGGCGGCGGGGAGAAGAAAAGAAAAGAAGAAAGAAGGAAGAAAAGAAAAAAAGAAGAACGAAGAAGAAGACAGAGGAGAGGGTGGAGCGGTGGAGATGAACGACGGAGCTTGAGGCGCTTGTTATCGACGGTGGGCCGAACGGTTGAGGAAGGGAGACGGTAAGTTCTAGTGGTGTGATTTTCGTTGTTGTTTTCCAAAATCCTAATACATTTCATGGGATCGATGTACCTAGGTTATTGTCGAGGGAAGTTGGTGAGTCCTTGTGAAGAAGAAGACATGGGGTGTTGAGAGGAAAGAAAGATCAAGAAGGAGGTGGGAAGAAGAGGCTAAAAGTTGAGGGGGCACGACCCGACCCGACCCAACCCACCTGTACAGAACTGAAACTCAATTTGTTTTCCCATTTCACACCATCATATTCGTCTTTATCTAGATTTAGGAACTTGACTCACACATTCCATAAATGTCTTATTATAGGAAAATTCCAAGCTTGGTCAAGGGACACTTGAAGACTCAATTAAGTTTTGGTTAGTCTACGATCAGGTAAGTAACCATCTAGAGCAAGTTTTTTTTAAGTAATTGCTTGTAGGAGTCGATTTGGACTTGTGGCCAAATAGTATAGTAATATCTGTAGGAATGGATATAGTTAGTTCATGGAGGTGGTACTTCAATAATGTGTGTGATTGTATTTTGGTTGTCGTTATGGTTATATAGTTTCGTTGGTCTGGATGTGAAATCTCGTATAGGCATGTGAAATGGTATGTTTTTATGTTGAGCTAGATGGTTATTATGGTTATTATGTGACTTAGGATGGCGACATGTTGTCGTCGTGGTTCTTTGTTAGGCATTAGGCGTGGGGCTTGGGTAGCCCATTGCTACTCGTTGAATGTTGGATGAATTATTAGGTGCTAGTAATTATAATTTAGGGAGCACATAATGACAGTGTACCGTTTTTGTAGTCACCCAGAAGGGTTGAGGGTAATCATAATATATTACTGTGATAAGAGGTGCTTAGTGAGACGAGCCATGGCCTTTTACTGATCCAGTCGAGCGGCATAAGACAAGTAATTACTGTTCCTAAGACAGGTAGTTTTATTGATCTGAGCCGACAAGAGCATAAGATAGGTAGTGACTGACCCGGCCTTGCGAGGCACAGTGGCAGGTAGTTACTAATCTTAGGAACAGTTGAATGTTGCCAGGCACCACTAGGTCTCTAACTAGTGACTAATCGAGCTAAAAACTTAGAATCCCATGAATAAGGCTAAGTTCGACAAGAGCTTATGAGCAAGTTGCTTACTGGGTATTGTTATAAACTCATCCTATGTTGTTTGCTATTTTTCAGGAGAAAAGTAGATATGGGTCGGTGGCGTGGATGTGTGGAGTTGTGCAGCTGCAGAAGGGGGCCCTCAGATTGAGTCCTCTTCTCCATGTCATTTTGGTTATGATTTTTGACGTTTTTGAAAACCTGCTATATTTTGTAACCGTTGCTTTTTATGTGACCCCGCAGATCTTCGTTATGTGTTTTATATATTTTTTTGTAAATGTATATCAGGAAACCTTTATCTTTCAGTCCCTTGTTCAAACTAAATGAAGTGTTGAAAAGTTTTTTTTTTTTACTCTTGAGTCCACGTGGCGACCCGTGATTCGGTATTTTCTAAAGATCGGTTGTTACAGTTTTGGTATCAGAACCCCAGGTTGTTAGGTCCTGTAGACCTAGTATCAGTTGGGCCCTCTGTAGCTCGGCTCGTAGCCATGTTCCTCCTTGACCAGGTAACATCGGGAAGTAAGTTAAAAGTGGTAGTAATAGGTGTAGTCGTATTGTAGTTTAACTCATCATGAGATGACGTGAACCCATAGATCGTTATGGTTAAGGTTTGGATTGGACATCTAGTAACCTACTTGTTGTACAATGTAGATACTATGGCACCCGGGAATAGAAGAAGGAGGGGTAGGAGAGTCACCAGGGCTCTAGAGGAGTCTGAGCCTGCTCAAAAGTCAGTCCCGGAACAAGCACCTAAGATCGTGCAAGCGCTGCCAGCACAAATACAGGGGAAGACAGGGGCTCCACCTTCAGATCTAGTACTGGTCTCTAACGAGACTCTCCAGGCGCTTATACGGGCCGCTGGGGCAAACCAAGGGGGGGATAGCGCTGGCATGACAAGAGAATAGAAATTCATTAGAGATTTTCGAAAGCATGACCCTCCGACCTTCGAAGGAGAGGAAAGTGATCTAATGATAGCGGAAACATGGGTAGAAGCAATTGAGACCCTATTCGGGCATATGAATTGCCCTAAGGATCAGAAAGTGAATTGTGCCTCTTACGTGCTTAGGGGTGAGGCCCACTTTTGGTGGAAGGGTGCTCAAAGAATGTTGAGGAGTGGAGCCGAGGGTGAAGAACCAATATGTTGGCACGGAATGAAGAGGGCATTTTTCCACAAGTACTACCCACTAGTGAGTCAGTATAGGAACGAGGCCGTCTTTCTTAACCTGAAGCAAGGAAATAAGACTTTCGAGGAGTACGATAGGGAACTGACCCGATTGTCCCGATTCACACCAGATCAGGTTGATACGGAGGAAAAACGAATACGGAGATTTATTGCAGGTCTTCGAGAGGAAATCCAAGGAACGGTGGGGGCAGTGGCACCTACTACATATGTTGTCGCCTTAAATGCTGCCACCATGATGGACGTCCAACTCCAAAAGATGCTCAGGAGGTTTGGGAATCAGAGGAATCTTCTGGGTAAGCGAGAATGGAGCGAAAATCTTGATAGAGCGTCACGACCCGAGAACAGAGGGAGGTCACATAAGCCACCTCCAACTGAGAGGCAGCGGGGGCGTTAGAATTGAGGTCCCTAGATTTGAGAGGCCCACTTGCCCCATTTGTGGGACTAGACATACAGGGGAGTGCAGGGCAGGTTCTGATGCATGTTTTCATTGCGGTAAGAACGGCCATAAGAAAGTTGACTGCCCTTATAGGAGGCTTCAAGAGGAGAATAGAGTGTCAGGGTCAGGCCAAGGAGGCAGAGGGGGCATGGCAAAGAACCGTGGTACTACTAGGGCAACTGCCGGGAAAGGAGCAAACAACATGGACACTGTGGTGCATATGTAGCGTATATTCCCTAATTTGAATTCGAACACTTCGAACTCAATCGTCACACTGTTCTATGGTTTAGTCCGATATGAGCTAGCAGAGGGACCTAATGGACCTATAGATCATGGGCTTCAACGATCCAAGATTAACTAGTTAAACTCATTAACCTTGTTAACCAACATTCGTTAACTACTAGGACACTCCACTATAGCCTAGTAGTTGCACTCCCCTCACTATAGATATATTTCTATCTATTTGATATAACCATAATTAGTAAGTCGTCCTTCATAGGTTGTTTGTAACTAGAGCTGGGTCAATTAGCCGTTTTACCCCTGAAGTTACTTCTTGTTCCTTATGTCCCACTGATCCTCTTATGAACAATTGATTTGTGGTCCAACCAGTAAACCAAATCCCTCTCAGGCCAATGAATGGGTGGGGCCCCTTGTTCAAGACCTGGAGTTAGTACTTAAGGGAACTACCTTTCTTCTATACCTAAAAGTGGGTAGGAGAGAATTCTATCCTGCACCCCACGTCCCCAGCTATTCACCCAGTATTACCCCTGAAATGGGAGGCCTATTGAGTCGGCGAACTCGAGCCACTCTCACCCATGCAAGTCTAAGGATAATTTCGAATGAACAGGAGTTCATGGTTAGCTCAGGATTAAGATCGAGTTACCTAGGTCATCGAATGAAAAGAAAATCATTCTCAACAGTAAACAACAGTATAAAGAGAGAGTGATTTTATTCATGGTCTGATCTTATGCAATACTCATTGCATAGGACTCCCCCACTCACATGTCTCCACATGTACAATTTAGTGATCACATTGTTTATATCATATACAAAAGTGGGCCGCATCCATAGTGTCCCCAGAATAAGGTACTCAGCCTTATTCTTATACTATAGATCATTTTGACTATATACTTGAACTTGATCCACTTTTATGTCTCTACATATAGTTCAAGTAATCATATTATAGTCAGAGTGTTCTTAGTTTATTGAATTTAGATTAATGATCGTAAAGTTCACTTTATTCAATAACAATCTTTACTGAATAAGCATCAATAATGTCTTTGTTTACAAACTATGAGTTTTAGGACATAAAACCCAACAATATCAGTGGATCCAACCAAAGTCGAGGCAATTATAGATTGGCCTCGACCTACCTCAGCAACCGATGTGAGGAGCTTCTTAGGTCTAGCTGGATACTATAGAAGATTTATTCAGAATTTCTCTAAAATAGCCGCCAGTCTCACACAACTAACGAGGAAAGGAAAGACGTTCTCGTGGGATAGTGCATGTGAGAAAAGTTTCAAGGAACTCAAGCACCGACTGGTTACAACGCCGATACTTGCAGTACTAGATGGCTCAGGAAATTTTGTGGTTTATAGCGATGCATCAGGGAAAGGTCTAGGTTGTATCCTGATGCAGAATGGCAAAGTCATAGCCTATGCTTCGAGACAGTTAAAGGATTACGAGAGAAACTACCCAATGCATGACTTGGAGTTAGCTGTCGTAGTGTTTGCTTTGAAGATATAGCGACACTACCTGTATGGCGAGCTTATACAGATTTTCACCGATCACAAGAGCTTGAAATACTTATTCACTCAAAAGGAACTCAACATGAGACAAAGGTGCTGGTTGGAGTTAGTCAAGGATTATAACCTTGAAATAATGTATCACCTAGGTAAAGCTAATGTCGTAGCTGATGCTCTGAGTAGGAGAACCGCTCACTCTTCGATGTTAATTACAAGGGAGTATATGTTGCAGGAGGACATGACGAAAGCTAGAATAGAAGTAGTGACAAGGGGCACCATAGGAAGATTGAGTCAACTTAGGGTCCAGTCGGATCTAAGGCAGCGAATCATAAATGCTCAGAGCAACGACCCTCACTTGTACTTGATTTGCCAACAGAATGAGGCATTGAGGGAGGAAAGATTTACCATGTCTTCCGAAGGGGGATTACTATGGCGGGGACGACTATGTGTCCCCGCAGATGAGAGGATCAAAGAAGACCTCCTGACTGAAGCACATGAATCTTTGTATACAGTGCACCCTAGAAGTATCAAGATGTACCGTGACCTGAAGAAGTGTTATTGGTGGCCAGGGATGAAGCGGGATGTTGCCCTCAAAGTTAGTAGGTGTCTCACTTGTCAACAAGTGAAGGCCCCTAGATAGAGACCCTCCGGCTTACTACAACCCCTAGACATTCCACAGTGGAAGTGGGAGGATATAGCCATGGACTTTGTAACCGGATTACCCAAGACCTTGAAGGGATACACGATTATTTGGGTGATTATAGATAGACTGACGAAATCCACCCACTTCATCCCTGGTAAGGCTACTTACACATGGGATAAATGGGCGAAGCTATATTTGGAACAAATCGTCAGATTGCATGGGATTCCGGTCTCCATGGTGTCAGATAGAAATTCACGTTTTACCTCTCACTTTTGGAAAAGTTTGCAAAAAGCAATGGGGACCCAACTCAGATTTAGTACAGCGTTCCACCCCCAGACTGACGACCAAACCGAAAGATTGAATCAGGTCTTAGAAGACATGTTGCGAGCATGCGTGATTGACTTCACCTGTGGTTGGGACGAATACCTGCCCCTTATAGAATTTGCATATAATTATAGTTACTAGGCGACCATACAGATGGCACCTTTTGAGGCCCTGTATGGGCGAAGGTGTCGGTCTCTAATTTTCTGGGAAGAAGTGGGAAGGTGACAACTGTTAGGGCCAGAGTTAGTTCAACAAACGAATACTGTCGTGCAAAAGATCAGAGTACGAATTGAGACTGCACAAAGCCGACAAAAGAGTTATACAGACACATGGCGCAAGGCTCTAGAATTTACCGTTGGCGATCACGTCTTCCTAAAAGTAGCACCCATGAGGGGGGTGATGAGGTTCGGAAAGAAGGGCAAACAAAGCCCAAGGTTTATCAGTCCTTTCGACGTCCTAGAGAGAGTTGGTCCTGTGGCGTACCGACTAGCCTTGCCTCCTGCTCTGGCTGCTGTTCACAACGTGTTCCACGTGTCTATGTTGTAGAAGTACACCCTAGATCCTTCTCATGTGATTGAGTATGTAAACCTTCCTTTGAGGGAGGACTTAAGTTACGAGGAGGAGGCCATCGGGATTGTAGACACGAAAATACATAAGCTTCAAAACAAGGAAATATCACTTGTCAAGGTGGTAGGGAATAACCATCGCGTTGAGGAAGCAACCTGGGAGTTAGAGAGCAAGATGAGGGCCAAGTACCCCATGTTGTTTAGGGATTTAGAAACTTTCGAGGATGAAAGTTCTTAAGGAGGGAAGATTTTAAGAGCCATACAGTTGGTAAGTGAGGAGAGAGAAATGTCAATTGTACTACTCTTTTAGGGTTTAAAGAAAAAAAAAAGGAAAAGGAGAGGCCACGGGGGAGAAGAAAAGAAAAAAGAACGAAGAAGAAGACAGAGGAGATGGTGGAGCGGTGGAGACGAACGATGGAACTTGAGGCACTCGTTATCGACGGTGGGCCGAACGGTTGAGGAAGGGAGTACATCGACGGTAAGTTCTAGTGGTGTGATTTTCGTTGTTGTTTTCCAAAATCCTAATACATTTCATGGGATCGATGTACCTAGGTTATTTTCGAGGGAAGTTGGTGAGTCCTTGTGAAGAAGAAGACATGGGGTGTTGAGAGGAAAGAAAGATCAAGAAGGAGGTGGGAAGAAGAGACTGAAAACTGAGGGGGCATGACCTGACCCGACCCAACCCACCTGTACAGAACTGAAACTCGATTTGTTTTCCCATTTCACACCATCATATTCATCTTTATCTAGATTTAGGAACTTGACTCACACGTTCCATAAATGTCTTATTATAGAAAAATTCCAAGCTTGGTCAAGGGACACTTGAAGACTCGATTTAGTTTTGTTAAGTCTACGATCAGGTAAGTAACCATCTATAGCAAGTTTTTTTTAAGTAATTGCTTGTAGGAATCGGTTTGGACTTGTGGCCAAATAGTTTAGTAATATATGTAGGAATGGATATAGTTAGTTCATGGAGGTGGTACTTCAATAATGTGTGTGATTGTATTTTGGTTGTCGTTATGGTTATATAGTTTCGTGGGCCTGAATGTGAAATCTCGTATAGGCATGTGAAATTGTATGTTTTTATGTTGAGCTAGATGGTTATTATGGTTATTATGTGACTTAGCATGGCGACGTGTTGTCGTCGTGGTTCTTTGTTAGGCATTAGGCATGGGGCTTGGGTAGCCCATTGCTATTCTTTGAATGTCGGAGGAATTATTAGGTGCTAGTAATTATAAGTTAGGGAGCACATAATGACAGTGTACCGTTTTTGTAGTTACCCAAAAGGTGTTGAGGGTAATCATAATATATTACTGTGATAAGAGGTGCTTAGTGGGACGAGCCATGGCCTTTTACTGATCCAGCCGAGCGGCATAAGACAGGTAATTATTGTTCCTAAGACAGGTAGTTTTACTTATCTGAGCCGACAAAAGCGTAAGATAGGTAGTGACTGACTCGGCCTTGCGAGACACAGTGGCAGGTAGTTACTGATCTTAGGAACAGTTGAATGTTGCCAGGCACCACTAGGTCTCTGACTAGTGACTAATCGAGCTAAAATTTAGAATCCCATGAATAAGACTAAGTTCGACAAGAGCTTATAAGCAAGTTGCTTACTGGGTATTGTTATATACTCATCATGTGTTGTTTGCTATTTTTCAGGAGAAAAGTAGATCTGGGTCGGTGGCGGGGATGTGTGGAGTTGTGCAGCTGCAGAAGGGGGGCCCTCAGATTGAGTCCTCTTCTCCCATGTCATTTTGGTTATGATTTTTGACATTTTGAAAACCTGCTATATTTTGTAACCGTTGCTTTTTATGTGACCCCACAAATCTTCTTTATGTGTTTTATATTTTTTTTAAAATGTATATTAGGCAACTTTTAGCTTTCAGTCCCTAGTTCAAACTACATGAAGTGTTGAAAAGTGTTTTTTTACTCCTGAGTCCACGTGGCAACCCGTGATTCGGTATTTTTTTGAAGATCGGTCGTTACAGAGGGATCTCATGCATATTGTATGTTCATAAGCATAGGGCTACTTTCCCTAGTGATGATGAGCGCAGACGCGCACAGTATGATGATGAGTGCGAATACGCACTGTAACGGATCGGATAAAAAAAATGGAGTTGTCGGCAGGACCGAAAGGGCAGTCGAAGTCTCGGTCACCAAGGAAACTCGATCCTGACCTTCAGCCACCCCAAGACACTTGCAAAGAAGAAAAAA